ATCAGCGTGCTCACCGCTTCCACCGTCGTCTTGTGCTTTTCCAGGTATGAGTTCACAGTGAGATTAAACCGGTGTGACGCGCAGCCAATCAGAGGAACGCTGAGGTTTGTCGCAGCGGCTTGGTTCGTGGTGCAATTATCGCCAATGAGAAAATCCAGACTCGATTCGGATTGGTGGAAAATTGCCATTATATTACGCATGAAAGCGCAATGTGATTAAGCCGCTAGATCTCCTTCTTCCATAGGTGCAATCGCCAGAAGCGCCTGCTTCAGTTGTCTGTCGTGCCAGAAAACGGCGAACAGAGCCACGTAATGCTCCAAAAAGCACGTCCAACCATCCAACATGATCCCAAATGGCCCGTCTAGCTCGGCGCTGATATTCGTCTCAACAGCAGCCACTACCTTGCCGATGTAGACCTTAAGCGTCTTCGAGCAAACAGGCTTCAGCTTCGACATTCTGCGAGTAAGTCGATCATCGACCTCACTGAGAGGCATGTTGCGGTCGACGACCCACTCAATCCAGCTGTACATGTTGGAAGCCGTTGGGTTGACGAACCCACAGGCTGTCAGTGAACCAGCCTGTCTGCGCTGGTGCGCGTCGTAGTCGGCGTGGTAGCCAGGGTGCTTGTCTTTGAGGTGGCCAACCAGATTGGCGTAGCCACTTGAGGGTAGCTGTTTACGCTGCGTGCCACAGTAGCTGCAGGTAAAGTAGTGTTCGGCGTCAGCCACGTAGAAAAACCGGCAGAGCTCCCGGTTCGAGACAGAGGTCATGCTTGAGCTTCTTGTACTTGATAAACAAAAGGAAAATGAGTTCTTGGATTGAGAGGCTTGCATAGTATGCTCTGCGAAGGTAGTGTTTTGTGCGTGTGTTGTGGGCCATTCAAACGTTTGTCTACTGCGGTTAAGCGAACCGGCCCGTTAATAGTACACTGGCCAACCGGTAGTAATAATTTTAAATAATATTAATAATACTACCCGGTATCAGTTTGCAATAGTTAATAATTTAATACTTTCAATACGAATAGTATTGGTACGGAATTATTTTCTTCCGAGCACTGCCAAGCAGCACCCCTGGGACGTGACGGCAGATATTACTAATGCGTTTCACACTCGACTAGTTTTAGCATACCGGTACTCGAATTTTAAACGACAAAATAGTATTATCACACAGCAGTATGCAGCTAACACAAAGAGTATCCGCATGCCACACAGATGTGACACATCATGTGGGTCTTGTCGCACGTGCACGTCGTGCGCACATCTATGCGGCACGGACAGTAGGACGTACCCACGGACCATCCATACCGTGGTTGCGTCCCAGTAAATCATCCAATCAGATCTGGCTGCCTCTCCGGTGAGGAGCAGTCAGCTCATTCGACAAATTCCTCTCAAGGGCGCAGCAAGGCAACTAGGGCGCGGCGTGCCTCGGGCTTGATCGCCGGCATGGCGGCGCCCGTGCACCGTCACCATCACCCACTACGACATGCAGACTACAACTACCGACCACTACGACATGCAGACTACTTGTGCGCGGGCGCAACGTGCCTCGGGCTTGATCGCCGGCATGGCGGCGCCCGTGAACCGTCACCATCATCCACTACGACATGCAGACTACAACTACCGACCACTACGACATGCAGGACGGCTTGTGCAGAAGGTGCTGTAATAAGACTGATTACGGGCGGCTTGTGCAGGACGTGTTGAAGGGCTAGCCCCTGTACTGTCCTAGCCGAAGGCTGTGCGGGATCGGCCTTATTACAGTAAATGACGTACCACGATGTACCTGTAATGAAGAACGGTGTATTAATTTGTTAATGCAATGTAAATGTAATCATTCTCTCTTTTCTCAAGTGCTTATTCTTCTTCTGCTTCAGCTTCAGTATAAGCCCTCTCTACCTTACGTCGCTTGCGCTGCCGATACAAACACAGTTCGCCGGAGGGAGGGTTTGCTGCGGGCTCCCATGTTGGCTCCCATGCGGTAAGGAATAGAATTCTTCCGTTCTCGCGGCGATCGTCGAGAATCGTCCGCATCTGGTAGGTCGGCTGGGCTGTCGAGCTCACTGCAGCTGGTAGAACCCATTCCGCTTCGCCCGCATCATCGCCTTGACGTGCAGCATCAATGAGACGGGGCTTAGTGAAGTGGGCTTGCGGTAAGGCGTCAAGAAGCCGCCGTATGGCGCCTCCATCATCGGGTGACGAGCTTCGTTGAATAAATCCCCACGACCTTAACAAGCGGGCGGCCTCTCGATCGAGGCGGCCCCATCCACGCTGTTTCAGGTGCTGCTGGCACCATTCAAAGAACTCGTTCGCGGAGGTGGGTGGAGCGGGGGCGGAGGCGATGTCGTGTCCAGGGGTGGCCATCGTAGGGCGGATTGCGGAATGAACATCGATAAAGTAGACTTCAGATAGATAGATAGATATTTACACTTTTGTTTCGTGTATCTATTTATAATTTTAAGATAGTTGTTCTATTTTAGTGCGCTCTGATGAATGAAGAGAAGTGAATGAATAGAAGTTTCACAAGAAAAACAATGGTTTTGCAAGAAAGCTAGCTCAACATATTCAAATTTGCGTTTTTCGACGGAACAGAGTGTTTTCATCGATGCAACACTATCTAAGCGTTAGTCCATGCTAAGTGCGTGGCCGTTTGGCCGAGGACGACCAGCAGGAACTTGGGTACTCGCGCCGCTAGTATGGAGAGTTGCTTGCGGGGTGCGACAGCGCTTCCTCGCTACCGTGCGGTTCACGAGGGTTCTCTTTCCATCCAAACCGGTGTAGCTCTTAACTTGAAGAGCAAACAGAAGGTGAATGCAAATTGCGAACTTGAAGTAATACTTGCACCCACATGTCATCGCAGTAACGTCGACGCTCCAGCCACCATCCGGCTGACCCTCCATCTCCATGCGAGCGTAATTGGCGCCCATCTGAGCTGATACAGGGACTGTTTCTCGACTACGCCCCAACTCAGGTAGATAAACGCGAGAACAGCCGCGCGACAATACACGAGCCTCATTCGGGTTCGGGGAAACCAGTAAGAACTCAATGCTCGACCGTCCAGGAGTCCTGTCGAGAAGGAGATCTCGGCCCCGGAAATCTGTTACTCGAGCTTTGAGCTGTTGTGTTAGCTCAGACAATTCCTTGAATACCTTGGGGGTGAAGGATTGATGCTGACAGCAATCCGCGAGCAGCTGGACCAATGTTCCGATCTTGTGCTTCGCTCGGAGAGTGTAGTCACGCTTTATCAACCTGTTGAACTGTTCGACCGGGTTGTTCGTTGTGGCAAATCCACTCGGCGTATGAAAACACTGCCATCGCCAAAATGCGCTTGTAACCCATGTGCGCTCGAAATAGTCTTGAAAGCCAACCAAGTGTTCGTCACCTGACCATTTCGTCAGCACTTGTTTCACTTGTTCGTCATAGACAGCTGAGGTCGTCGCGAAATGAAGATTTTAAATGTCCGCCATCACCTGCTCGCTTAAGCGGTCCGGAACACTCTTGAGTTTTTCGTGAACCCTGGCCATCACGTGATAGAAGCACATCAAGTACACGAATTCGCAATCCGCACCAAAGACGCGTACCACTGCGTTCTGTTGAGCAGCTTCAGCATCGGCCATGACGAACTTGACCACCAGTTGACGCCCACCCGACACTGAAGTAAAAATCTTGCGCAGTTCAGTCAGCACCGTCACGTAAATGTCCTCCAAGCGTTGCGACGTAATGAAAAGTGCCACGAGGTGAATTGAGCGACACTTGTCAGAGATCCCACACACGATGACAGGATACCCAACTTGGTTCAACTTGAAGGTGGCGTCCATATGAAAAACAAACGAATCTGGATCGCGAGCCGCATTCAACAGAAGTCGTTTTGTTGTCAGTCCCACCAAAAATGGCTTTTCGTCGGAGCCGTTTCCCACATCTGGTTTGCCGTGTGCGTCACGCTTCCATCCGAACGAAAATGGAGTTGTCTCTGAGATGGTCGGGCCATAAGCCAACTGGTCGATCTGGCCCAGAATTTCGTCGTAATCGTCATTACGATGCAGATGTTTCTTTGAATAACTGCTGACGAACCACTGCACTTGACGTAGTGTCGGCATCTCCGTTTCGGTCAACCCAAATCGCCGAGCCATGCCATTGCGAATCCGAGCGGGCTTCAACCCTTGCGTTGCCATTTCCCGGTCGTAGTCCTTGAGTCGTGGGGTCATCTTTGCTTTTTGTGGGCCCCTCACCGGCGTCTCGTGAGCACCAGTCTCCATTATGGTGACGCGGTTAGGACGTTGGCACGTGAGCACCTTACCCTGCCACCGACACGCGTCATATGGTGTGGCTGCTTTGCATGTTTCCGAGGAACAACGCAGTAGTTGGTACCGCATCTTGTGCGTCTTGGTCAGAGCACACACCACACATGGAACCATATGACTCTTCACAATGATGAACACCTTCATGTCTTCCATAAGCAGCTGGGAATCCTGGCGAGCCATGTCGCTGCAGATAGTCGTCCACTTGGTCGTTGTTGGCATCTTGCGTTGGGGGGAGGGAAAGGACGGCTTCAGAAATTCAGTATTTTACTGTATGAAGAATCTTTGCTGTTATTGAAGGATATAAAGGGCGGTGATTGGCTCACGGATTGCCATAGCACTGGCCGTGATTCGCAAATAATCACTGGTGTGTAGACGCCCTAGATTGGTGTGTTTTGGCCAATGCAAGTGTGGCACACATATAGATTGTGTAGTGATGTGACATTGATGTGTCACACGCATATTGTATGTGTTATCACATTGTTTGTGTGTCAGACCTTGGTTCTGTGTGATTTACCGGTTCTGTCATTTTAAACTAGGAATTAATGTTAATGAAATCAACATTCTCACCCAATTTATTGTCAAAAATCGATTTGCTAATTTTGACAATAGCAAATGTTTAAAATACATTCACGGTACATAATTGGCTGAAAAATATAATGTTTGGATGCGTTTCGATGGCATCCAATCTGCGTTAAGTGTCATTCGGTCATTCCTTTAAATGCTGCCTCTTGTCACCATGCTACCGTCCCGCTTATCGTCCTTTGTACGCCGCTGCGCCTCCACCTCCGCGCGCAACAGCTTCGTGGACCGTTTACGCAACGAGCTGGCGGAGATCGAGGCTGCTGGCACCTATAAGAACGAGCGCGTGATCGCGTCCCCGCAGGGTGCCAAGATCTCCGTTAACGGTGACACCGTACTCAACTTCTGCGCCAACAACTACCTAGGACTGAGTAACCACCCGGCGGTGGAGAAGGCGGCGGCCGACACGCTTAAAGAGCGCGGCTTCGGTCTCAGCTCTGTTCGCTTCATCTGCGGCACACAGGACATCCACAAGCAACTGGAGGATGCTATTTCTGCCTTCCACGGTACCGAGGACACCATCTTGTACCCATCGTGCTTCGACGCCAACGCTGGACTGTTCGAAGCTGTACTCAACAAGGAGGACGCTATTATCACTGATGAGCTCAACCACGCCAGTATTATCGACGGCATCCGACTTTGCAAGGCCGAGCGTCATCGCTTCAAGCACATGGACATGAACGACCTAGAGCAGAAACTCAAGGACACGCAGCACTGCCGCACTCGACTCATCGCCACTGATGGTGTATTCAGTATGGACGGTGATGTCGCTCCACTGCAGGACATTATGGCATTGGCCGAGAAATACGACGCCCAGCTCTTCATTGACGAGTGCCACGCCACGGGTTTCTTCGGACCAACAGGCCGTGGTAGTGACGAGTACTGCGGTATCAACGGAAAGGTGGATGTCATTAACTCGACTCTGGGCAAGGCTCTTGGTGGCAGCACAGGAGGTTACACTACCGGCCGCAAGGAGGTCGTGGACCTGCTGCGTCAGCGCTCGCGTCCATACCTCTTCTCCAACTCGTTGGGTCCATCGGTGGTCGGCGCTTCGCTCAAGGTCTTTGAGATGCTCACCGAGTCGTCCGAGTTCGTTGACAAGATCCGTGCCAACACGCACCACTTCCGCGACCGCATGACAGCCGCTGGCTATACTCTCAAGGGCTCTCGGTACGTTGCACGTGCTCGTGATCAAAGTTAAACTGCCTATACATGTTCTGACAACGCGTTGCATTATGCAGTGACCACCCAATTGCTCCTGTGATGCTGGGCGATGCTCGTCTTGCTTCTGAACTGGCTGACGACATGCTTAAGCGCGGTATCTACGTCATCGGCTTCAGCTACCCGGTACGAATATTCACACACAGAGATAAACGGTGACTTTCTGTGTCGCTGACCTGTGCCTTTTCACTTTGTTACGTAGGTTGTGCCGAAGGGCCAGGCGCGTATCCGCGTGCAGCTTTCGGCTGCACACAGCATCGAAGATGTCGACAAGGCTGTGGACGCCTTCATCGAGTGCGGCAAGGCACGCGGTGTCATCAACTAGACTGCTCCACGAACTAATTGGAAGTGGTGATATTTGTTGAATCATCTTCACGGGCTGCTATTTTCACAAGCGTGGGGAGGTTCTTCGTTTTCGCTAGAACTTCTAGGATTGCGGTGCCGTTCCTCAAGTTGATGCTGCAAGACACGCGATAAAAGAAAATGAGTTAGCCCACTTCGATAACGCACCGACAGAAACAATGTAAACCAAGAGATAAAAACTATCAATGCGCCACAATGATACGGACCTCGCACCCCAAATCTTGAGTCCTTCCAGCTCTCTTGAGTCTGTCATCAATGGAATTAGAGACTCATCGCTGTTGACAAGAAGCATTCCAGCACCACCAACGTGCTGAATCGCTCTACGTATACATGTTGAGTACACATGTTGAGTATTAGCACAAGTGAACAAGTCAGATTACCGGAGTTTTGTGCCAAATGAACATCCTCCGCGCTTAACAACGACGACCGAACGAGTGGCAAGGATTCCAAGTCCTTTGTAGTTGCACGCAGTCTCTTGTGGGTAGGCTGCAACGATGCGATAAGGTAATGTGGGGATTTTGCCGCCGAAGAGAGCAGGAAGGACCTGAAACTCGTATGACTCGGCGAAAGAGGACACGTTGCCACTTTCTCCTTTGGAGTGTCCAGCATAAATGTACCAGAAAGTCATGTTTCGTCCAGCTTTCTTGACGTCCTATAAATCACAGATGTATCAGAGGTATACCGCATGAGAGCTCAGATCGGAATTGGCGTACCCTTGCGATCGCCAGCTCCTGGTTGGTTAGCTTTGGAGGCTGCTCGAGAGGAACTGGAATTTGGTCTGGTCTCTCTTCGTAGATCCGAATCACTGCGTCCAGAAGAAAAAATAAGGCTAAGTTAGACATTTTAAAACCCTTAATTCTACCGGGACAACAGATGAAATACGTGTAATGTGGTGCTCCACTATTGACATGATAAGCTCTCCGTCCAGTTTGCCCATGCTAAACGTCATAATAGGACACAATCATTAGTAGTTTGTCAGGTAAAGCATCAGAACACAACGAGTCTTACAGAGTGACGGGAAATTCAACATGTTCCACCACAGCGGCTCCAGTAGAAGTAAACCTCCCTTCGCCCTTAGCATTGTTCACAATCAGAAGAGCTTTACCATTGGCTCCTTTGGCATGATTTGCCTTCTCGATAAGGGTGCAGGCTCCACGGTAAGCGAGGTATATTACGCCTGAAGTTTCGTTGTTAGAGAATTGCGCTGCTGCTGGGAATTGACGACAGCCTGTTATCGGCGTCGCGAACTCCAGTTGTAGTGGAACACTTGAATTGGTTTCGTTCATGTCAGGTGGGATACTCCAACTGGCAAGATGTAATCGAACTCCCCAGCCTCGCAGTATTTCAGGAGCATCAAACGCCAATGTCCAGTTCATTACCACTCGCATGACTGGATTCTTATCAGCAGCTTTGGCTGCAGCGCGCTCCGCAGACATTTGAACCAGGAACACCATTTTACGCGGAAACGCAGAGCTCAGATAGACTTCAACAACTTGCTCAGGTCCCATCTTCGACGTGTCGATTCCATTGAGAGAAATTATCTGGTCGCGTGGAGCGATCACATTAAATTTTTGTGCAGGTAGTTTGGGCTCGAGATGACTCACAACTGCGTTGTCTCTTGTGTTTAAATCCCAGTACAGTCCGATAGGACCTTTCGTCGTGAACTCAACCTCATAGCGGAACTCCCATCCGTCCCTCCGTTTCCCAGCCGCGAAATTATGCGGAGTCATGCGTGTTCGTTCGTACTCCTCCTTGTCCAATTTCTCAAGTAGTTCCTGTTCCTTCCTCGCAAGAGCTTCAGCCACACGACGCTCCTCCGCCAGTTTCGCCTGCAACGCCTTGTTATTCGCAATCTCCAGTTCGCAAGCTTCTCGTTCTGCTTTCAGTCGCGCCTTCTCTTCGACCCATGCTGTAACAACTTCCTTTCTTTGCTGCGTGGCGGGTTCAAACTCGAGCATTATCGGTGATAAAATCTCCACACGCGCAAAGCCCGAGAGGACATGAGTAGAGCCCACAGGTTTAAATAGCGGAAGTACAGCTATACTCCCCACAGGACTATCAATTACGTCTTGGAACGTTAACATGGTTATATTCTGGCCATCGACTCGTATCAGGCGGTCAGTTGGTTGTAGCGAGGGCGGGGGAAGAGAATTCTCGTCAGTTGCGGTGCCATTAGCGTCGAGCGAACAAGGCTTGGCAGTAATAGTGTAGCTTGTCGCCGTTGATGCATCCGCCTTCACCTCCACTTCCACATCTTCAACCTTCTCTTCTTCAATACTACGCACACGTAGATCATGAGTATCTGGGAAATGCTCCAACACTACCTGAACGATTGATGATTGCATTAAATAGCACGGGAAATCGTAGCTCCTCTAGCGTTCTATTCACCTGCGCTGTAGGCTCAGTCTTTATCTTGCTTCCTTCCGACTTAATGGGGCCATCGACGTCCTCTCCACTTGTCGCCACTGCGAACAGTACAGTCGCAAAACAAAATTTGCGCCACATCGTTTTGTGCCGTCCACGAAGGCTAAACAATACTTGTATAGCAGGTTAATCGCGGCCGTTCACCGAGAACCAAGATCCAACCGTCAAACTAATGATCAACTTGATTCAACTGACGAAGTAGCTGTTGTACTCGCTAACTTCGTCTTACCTCGGACCGTGCGGGACAATATGGATACGAGTTATTCTTCATACTTAAGTATGGAACTAATGGAAATGCATTTTCAGGCCGGACAAGCTTCATCATGAAGCTTGTACATGCGCTGAAATACAGAAAACTGCATGCTTACTATTGCATACTCATAAAATCCTGTAAATTTACTTCAGATAAGTAAAATATAGTTTCTTAGCTGAAAAAACATGTTTAATTTTCGCTGTACAGGTCATTTGCAGCGAGAGGTAAAACAAATTGTGGTGTTCACATTTTTTCTAATCCGGGGGTGGCAAATGGTCATTCTTCAGAATCAAGCACAACCAATTGACCTATTAATACAAGGTTTATCAGCCCAACTCTCTCGTTAATCGTCTTCCTCTCTTTTATATTATTTCTCCGTTATTGCCGTAATTCGTGGTGTTTTTCGAGGGCGTAAGGACTCTTGGACCCTCTAGGAAAAATATCAGCATATTTCTGAATCAATGCCGTGTGAGTCTTGATAAGATAGTCCTTCTGTTTTCTCACGACGCGACGTGTTTCGCCCTGCAGTGTCTGCACCGCCACGAGGATCGAGTTGTCTGGTACGTGCTCGCCCGCTGCTACCACGACGCCGCTACCGATAAGGCAGTTATCGCCGATTACGGATCCATTCAACGCCCGCGCCTTGGGCTCGAACCAGTTGCCGCTTCCCACACTTTGGCTCCGAACCTCGCAGCCGCTCTCGAACAGATTATCGCTGCCGATCTTCATGTCTTCAGAAGGGTCGTTGGCCAACACGGCGCCATCTTCCACGAAACAGCGTTCGCTAAGAACGATAGAGCCGCCAGTTGAAAGCACCGACGCGCCGGGGTGTATAGCACAGCGCTCGCCGACGGTAATAGCTCCCTGGAGCTGCGCCTCCACACACACAGCAGAAGTCCGGGCCACCTGAACCTGTTGCGTCATGACCTTAATTTGATATTGTAATATGAAACTTGATATTTGACCCAAACTTAATTAAATTTCCTACAAGCAATAATGGCGGCTCGGCTAATTGATGGCAAGGCCATTGCCAAGGCGCTGCGTGCTGCTCTTAAAGGAGACGTAGCAGCACTCACAGCTAAGCACGGAAGAGTGCGTGTCGCTTCGCAGCAACGCACTGCAATTTCATCCTCTCTAACACCGTTTGTTCTACAGGCACCAGCTCTGGGGCTCATCATGGTGGGGGATCGCAAGGACTCGGCGCTTTACGTTCGCAACAAAAACACAGCTTGCCGCCGCACGGGTATCCGCTCCGAAAATTTCCTCTTCGACGAGGGCGTCTCACAGGTATCAGCTAGTACAGCGAGTTACCGCCGTGCAGATCGTTGACATTTGCTCTATTATGCATAGGACACTATTGTGCAGAAGGTGGAGGAACTGAACGAGGACCCAAGCATCGACGGCATTCTAGTGCAGTTACCGCTTCCGGGTACGCAGCTTAACGCACAGCAAATTATCGATCGCATCCAGCACGACAAGGACGTGGATGGTCTCCACCCGTTCAATGCCGGCGAGCTGGCAATGCGTGGGCGATACCCGTACTTGATCCCATGCACAGCCAAAGGAATCTTGGCACTATTGGACGAACAGCACACACCGTTGCGTGGTAAGACTGCGGTAATCATTGGACGCAGCAACTTGGTCGGCAATCCAGTGAGTATGCTGCTCCAGAAGCGAGACGCGACGACGATTCTCTGTCACTCCAAGACCGTCGATTTACCCAGATATGTGCGTCAAGCAGACGTGGTTGTTGCAGCTTGTGGGCAACCGTATCTTGTTCGAGGAGAGTGGTTGAAACCTGGTGCCACCGTTGTTGATGTTGGAATCAATTTCGTGCGCGATGTGGATGGTGAATTCCATGGCGAGGCTAATGCTGACGGCTTCAAGCTCGTTGGTGACGTCAACTTTCATGAAGCGTGTGAAGTGGCAGGAGCTCTCACACCTGTTCCTGGTGGCGTGGGGCCAATGACGATCGCGATGCTGCTGCACAACGTCGTCGAAGCGTTTAAACGCAAGATGGACAATAGAAAAAAGGGTCTGCTGTGAAAGACACCATTTTGTACGACAAGGAGAGGCCCGATGTGGGTGAAACGTGTGTGGGGAATACTGTGTGTCTATTTCGTGGGTGTTATTTTGATGCCGTTTATTCACCAGATTTCTTTTTCTGACGAGCTCGAGGAAGTAACATTTCCTGCAAAAACTGATCAACACGCTTGTGTAAAGAGACGTACGGGTTGCAGATCACGTATTCGGTGAGTGCCGCCAGTGCCTCTTGGAAGTCGCTGAAGTCTGCACGCAGCATTTCCAGTTCGGCTTCTGTGCTGATTGTCGCGGTCGTCATTGTAGAAGAGTTGCCATCATCACGCTGCAGATTAACAAGCACTTGTTTGAGTGTATGTTCCGTCACAAAACTGCCGATAAGCTTGCAATCTCGCGCCATGACAATAAAAGCAGACAGCGACAGTGTCGAGTTCTGTTCGCGTATAGCATGCATCGATGCATAGTAGCGGAAGATACGCTGCAGTACAGGTTTGTGTCGTTGGAAAACTTCGCGAACTTTTGGTTGTGCCACTTCGGCACGAAAGAGTTCACGCTGAGATCGTACAGCGTTCGGAAGTATATCTTGCTCCATAAGAAGCCGATAGCGTTCGTCTAGCGGTAGTGCTGGCATTGGCGCAGCACGAGTATGACCTCCCCGTGGTCCTCGAGGTGCTGGCATCGGGGCATATTTTATCGCTGCTAGCCGCACAAGGGCATCTGCAAACTGTCGACCGGAAAGTTCCGGTCCCCCCTCAGTTACTTCATTGGCGCCATTTTCGACTTCAGTCGCAGGTGTTACTGAAGAGGTCGGAAGCGCACTCGCTCCCCCCGTTGCCGGTGTATCCAGCTGTAGGGCAGCTCTGTAGATGTTGTCAGCCACTTGAGATGTGATGTGCTTGTCTCCCGTGAAGCAGTCTTTGATGAACTTGTTGAATTCTGTCAAACTCATTGCCGCAAGACTTCCTGCCCCACCACTCGCACTGTAATAACGCCAATGCTTTTCAGTCATGGTTTTCTCCAAACGAGCATGGAAAGTATTCACCTGTGTACCTGTAGTGTTTGAAGATATCGTTGAGATCCTGGCTATACGCGTGCAGAGCGCGACGGACAGCAGCTGTAGCAATACCAACATCTCGTTCAGGTACGAACGGCGGCATGACGGACCCAGCGTTCGTCGTGGTGGAGCTTTTACGGCCTACAGATTGATTGAGCAGATTGAAAGCGTTTTCGCTGTCGTGGACGAGTAGTCCGCGAATGCACGCGCTGTCGACACGGGAGAACTCACGTATACGCTCATGTGTCCGCTCATCCACTAGTCCCAGAGGAGCGTTTGGAAGAATATCGCGTGCACGGACGCAAGACCAGGTTATCGCAAGTACCTTGTAAGCGATTTGTGAGAGTGCGCTGGAGGCTTCATTCGATGTCACAGCGATTTGATTCAGCTCGGAATGCAGCTGTTTGAAGAGCGTTTCGCACGTCCGCATCTCTTTGAGAAGGTGAGCTACCATCCCGGCGTCGTAGTTGTCGTTCATCCGTTTTACCTCGAGAAGTAGACCACGAACGCGTCTCCAAGTCGTAACGATATTGAGGAAATCCCCACGCTGTTTCTCCATGTTGAGCTTACGAACAGTACCCCTGAATTGAACAACCGTCAGGTGGTAAAGTTCCGTGTCGTGTAGTTTCAGTGGTACTTACACAGCGGTACCGAAGAGCATAGCAACGAAAGCGACATTTTCTGTGCCACTAGCAGCGTGGATGCTGTCGCTGGTGACAACTTGTGGCAATGGCGGCTGAACGCGCTCGTGGAAAGTAGCGATATTTTGCAGTCTTTGATCGACGTCTAGTTCATGAACCATCTACATAGAAGCAGTGAGTTTAAAATCAAGTGCTGCCATGGCAGAGAGATTTACCGAGGCGTCGAACCACGACGGGAACAACCGATGCAACAAGAAGGAAAGGCGTCGACCGTCGGCGAGATCAGACGTGAAGTTCTTGACAGTCCGGTCGGCAGGTTTCTCAACTGATGACGACAAACTTAAGTGCATCCGGAACCAGTAAAGCAACAATGTATCGATCGGCATTTGGGCCAGGTCACGGACAGTGACAGCACGATAACGTGCTGGTTTTGCCGCAGTTGTGCGTGATGCCATCGTGGTTAACGCGGTCGATGTGCGACCTCCGATGCTTTTGCTGAAATATAGCGACGAAAGGCTCACCGAACCATCAGCAGCGTCAGCCTTCACTTTGAGCTCATTTTCTGTCTGGATCTAACGACGATCATCACAACGATTAAACGCGAGGAACCAAGACTAAAGAGGGCCACAGCAACCTACCATTTCAGCAAGGTGCTGAAGTACACTTCCGTCCAGCTGATACTCAAGCGAGTCCATCATGTCTTTGGACATCTGAATGGCGCTCGTTTCGACCATGCGTGCCATGCCGAACATGGTTTCTAGCAGCATACGATTAGTGCGATCCATGCGTTCATCATCTTGGGCGAGCAACGTGTCCATCCGCTCATAGTTCGCTTCGCGTCTGCGTCCAAGAGGAAAGTTTCCGTTGTCCCCACCATGGTGTCTTCCATTGTCGTTGTCGTTTATGCCGTGGTTGTCGTCTTCCCCATCTCCACCACCAGTAAAGGCAGCAGCGGCTGAAAGATTCTCTAAGTGATCCACACGATACGAAAGCTGTTTGTTGGATACGGTTAAGCTGTCGATGATCCGAGCCATAGATTTTGCTTTGGCTTCAGCCTCAGCAATCGCGATATCCTTCCTACTCAAGGATGCAGCAGTGACGGATAACATCGTCTGATAATCGGCACTTTCCCGGTGATACGCTCGTCTCAGTGCTTCGATACGCCAGACACGAAACCACGCAATGAGGTTCGTCCTGCGCATGCTTTGAAAGCCTTGAATTTTCAGCTAAATACAGCAGTACAGTATCAGTGAGAGCCTGGTTGAAAATCCAAAGCTGAGAACTTCTTACCGCGCGAATTTGACGCTGAGCAGTCATTGCGTTGGCCCATCCACGAAAAGTTAGCGCGAGAGTCTCTCGATCCCGGCGCTTAGTTTGATGAGCTATAAGCTTACTCACTTTACCAGGTAGCTGTTGACGCGTCGTACGTGTGCTTTCACGTTCTCTTACGGTCGTAACGAGTGCTTGCATTTTACGGCGAAGACGTTTAAATTCCTGGATGAGATATCGGCGTAAGTGTCGAATTCAAAGGAGATTAATGCAGAGTTGGGAGTACCGTAAAGTATGGTGTGCGGTGTTCGTAGTCCAGTCCACCACCCTTGATTGCATGATCTTGTGCTTGAGTTTGTGTTGGGGGCAAGAAGATCGATGCTACCAACTCAGCGTGAACTCTTCGCAAGAAGGCGATGCTCTGACCTACTGTAGCTGCCACTGGGTCGACATTATTGTGAGTTGCTTTGCTAACTGCTATGCGTGAAATGTACTTCTCAAGCAACTGACAACATACAACGGTGTAGAATCGATTGGGTGCTTCAGCCCAAGATGCCATTCGCTTCGCTTCGTTCAACTTCATCTCACAAAATAGCGAGATCGAAGCAAATTGCTCCTCGCCCGAGTGAATCGACCACCGACTCAGCAAAAGACGCGCCAAGTCTTCACCGTGTTCATCTGCCAATTCGTCAATTGCCGGATGCAGCACCTGAAACTCCGACACACCGTCGCGATTGTTCTTGCGGCCTGAATTTAAATCGCTTTCTGTCGCTTGCTGTGCTTGGTGACATGATGACGAGCTGCTATTTGGAGTGGCTGCAACATGCCGGAGCTGCATCGGGGGGAGCACAGGTGTTTCCAGGAACTCCATGGATGCTCCAGAAACTCGCGCAGGCATCACTTTCCCCATCCGCGACGTTGTCGGTGTCTCCGGCTGCCGTCGAGATGATCGATGAGGGAGACGATCGCTAACAGATCCACCATTTGGAGCACTGTTTGAGTTTCGACTGTCGGGGTTAGCGGTGGCGCTGGGCAAATGCAGTTGGGGCACTGCGCGGCCACCTGTGCCTGACAAAGGCTCCATTGACACGATGCACTATCCCGTGCTGCCGTTTCGCCATCATTTACAAATTCCGGTTGGTGTGAAAGGGCGTGATATCATCGTGAGTTATGATTGCAACAAAAACAGCGAAAAGGATACACTCTGTTTACTGTTACCGGTAGCTTGTTAGTCCTATAATCGCTGATGTTGATTACATGTAGCCAATCTCAAGCCTGTGCTTATTCAGCTCAGCGGCATCACGTCAACCAACCAGGTACAGCGCTGCTGCAAGCGTGTCAGCTCGATCTCGCGTCGGCTGGATCCTCTTGAGATCAGGCCAGTTGCGTTGGCGATGCACGGTGAGCACTCCGCGCTCCTATTTGCTACAGTACTGCACGGTGCAGTACTGTAGCAAATAGGAGTGAAGGGGTGCAGTGCACCCCTTCTGGCGGTATCTATCGAGACCTATAATACATGTACCAGAATCTGGTCCAGATTGGTCCGATCAAAGCATTTCGTCCTATCCTTTTAAAGCTCCCTCCCTGGCTCATGGTTATTCAATGTAGGATCGCTTCAACATCCTACATGCTTAGCCGCTGAGCTTAACGCTTCCCGGTACTTCGCTCCAACGCTGATGCGAAGTCGTCCAACGAGGAACAACACTCGTGTACATGTACATGTAACGCTAGTCGTGTTGGAGCTACAGTACCGCTATATCGCCAAATCGCTCCTTGCAACACCGGAAAGTGTCGTCACTTGCCAATCAAGACATCACTAAAAGCGGGTACTTCAACCTCTGCAGCTAAATTTTACTGATTCAGAGGGGGGTAGTACATCCTACGTGAGCACAGTAAGTAAATGGCAAATGCTATGAAGTCGATGTAGTGCTAACGTATCAGCATCTTTGCTTTCATATCAGGTTTAAGCTGATGCTAACAAACCTCACTTTCTGAGAGAGATTAATACGCTACACCATAACGTAAAGAGTAAGTTACCTTCTGGCAGCGGAGTGATCGACGTTGAGGGTAACCTCATACTTCTCTTCGTCCTCGTCCGCTATGGACGCAATTTCAGATCCACTGTCAGAGCCGTCCGTCTTCGTGTTGCTCGGATATTCTTCACGCATAGCAAAGTACGGAGCCCTCGATGGCAAAGGGCTCTGGAGCGAAGTGGGGACCGATACTCCACTACCAATTGGAGAGATAGTTGCGCCCATGGCAACCTTTCCATCTTCTTCCGAAGCACTGTCCCCCTGATCACTGCTTTTTTTCCCGTCTTTCTTCTTTTCGTCCTGCATCATGAGGTAGTAACAGGTCTCCAGCTCGACCTTGGACGTCTGGGGTTTGTGAAGCTCGGTGTGGTCGCGCCACGTTTCCAAGTTCAATGACAACTGGGGGCGCCTCGCACGGAGCATCTCACGCTCGCGGCGATGTTGCTCCCGCCTTGACTCCAATTCCTGTCGCACGAGACTCATTTGATGATCCCCGCGTCGCTCTCGCCACTTTCGCTGCATATAAAGCATGATCATGATGCATAGCGCGACAAATGCCACGGCCAGGTACATCATATCGAAGCTCTGAGTGCCGCTTGTCGTGGAGGAGGCGGTGTCGCTGCTGCTGCTACTACATTCACTGGAAGACGAGGCGGAAGACACGATGTCACAAAGTGACGGGCAAATGCACGCGCCATCTTCGCCAGCGCACGTTGGTTTTGATGAGCTCACAGTGCAGGAGGAACAGACGCTATCGCTGGCGCTGCAGTATGTGGTTCCTGCGGACGAGTTGGAAGCGGTCGCGGTCGCGATCGTGCACGTGCCGTCCATGAGGTTGTACGCGCATCCCTGTTGGTGCAAGCAGGAAATAATGTTATTTTTATTTAATGTATCGACGGGAAAGAAGAGCAAATCGTACCGTGGTCGCGACGCACTGAGTGCACATGGTGGAGAGCTGGCAAGCGGAGAAGGCGTCGTTGATCAGGCTGCACGTATCGCCGAGCGCTGAGCCGAGCACCAGCGATGCCAATAGAGTCGTCGTCTTGAAGCGGATCATCGCCGTATTTACCAAGTTAGCGTACCTTATCGCCGATCTTTCAAAATGGAAAGTGTCGTCGCTGGCTGCATGTTCAGTTCGGGGTTTCTCCCTAAGCAAAAATGTACATCACAAAAAAACATCTTGAAGGGATGCTGTACCCATCTCCGGTTGCGCAAATTCTGATTGGCGATGATTGGCATGACGCGCCGAAAACAAACAACGGCTAGAGAGCTCAGAAAAACGTAGCATTTCGTTTCTTACACCTTTGAGGTCTAAAATAAGCGAAGATTTGCACTTTAGTGGCAAGTTTATAAGAAGGCTGTCCAACTGTGACACAATTTGGTGACGCTCCATTGGATCGACATAGAGTGTGCTGATTCATAATCAGAACTGTGCGCAAGAAAACAAAAACTGTTTCTTCACGTGCATTTGATGTTTTGACAGCTGCTACATCATGTTCACAATGCTCCGCATTTCCGGTGTTGCCTTTGTAAAAGTTCACTGCCTTTGTAAAAGTTCATGATCAAATGTCTAGTTACGTCTACACTAGTTCCGCTGTTTGATCCTCGAACCTCTCTTCAGCGTCGTCCTATATCGGTGAAGACTGCACTGCAGTCTACAGGTCCGTTGCGGCGACGGCCTGCGCGACGTACCTGTCACCAGCTTCAACATGTTCGCCGGTCTCTGCAACTTCACCTTCGCTCCCAGCCGACAGATGCCGACGTCTGCCGCTTTCCATGGGTACGAAGCACGAACGCAACTCCAGATCAGCAAGCCGCCCGTCCATCGGATCGGTGCGCTCGTTGAGGTGGTTGCGCCAGCCATCGAGCTTGACACGACCAGGCAGATCACGTCGACTATTACCTCGCCGCTGTCGATGGAAAAGACGGCGAATGCTGCAGCTATCAGAGCAAGGACTACCTTTAAAGAGCACACACGTGACGAGCGGAAACAACACGGCAGCAGCCGCGATGAGGCTACCGTAGCCCACCTTGCCGATAGATCCGGGCTTACACTTTCTGGGTTGGATCGAGATGTGCTCACAATGGGAAGCACAAGCACAACCGGAGGAGCCCAAGCAAACAGCAGGTGCATTGTCCAAGCGGCAGGTGGAACAGGCTGGGTCGTGCTACTGCAATACTTGACCTTGCCGCTGATGAAATAATCTGCACTGGAAAGCTCGCTCGAATGAGATTTAGTTACGGCTACACTGGAGATCGACACACAGCGGGCAGTTGAGACTTCAACAGCGCAACCAGCTCGTGAGAGGCACGTCGTGCAAGCTACAGGATACCAGCAATCACTGGTGTACTCGTCTTGGCTACAAATATCAGTGATGTTTGTAGTATTCGTCACCGAGACTTCGGCTGCTGTCGAGCTGGAGGAAGACGAGCTGGACTGAGCTCGAACATCCAACACGAGCAATAGCCCTACGAAAAATATTCTACATGTAGCAGCCATCGGTGTACAGTGTACAGAGAGGTGAATGCTGCCGCCGACACCAGGAAGCGGGCAGCAAATCGGTACACGATGCTCTGCAAATAGCTCGAGTGATCTGCTAAACAAGGCAACAAGCAGGTACAGTACAAAACAAAAAGATTGGTAAGTTCAACACCGTGTCAATGTCTTGCCACGTTGCGTGCATCGATAATCAAGTTACTGTAACTCTAACTCGATCAGATTGTTCGAGATAAGCATGGTACCAGCCAGCAAGCTAGAACAAGTAGCACGCTCGACATCACTGGAGCTTGTGAGCCTCCTACGCCTCATGGATCTTGGCGAGACGCTTGATGGCCTCTTCGATGGCTTCGTCAGTCTTGCAGTAGGCAAAACGCGCCCACTGGCTGCCTTCCGCTTTGTTTTCGCTGCAAAAGAACGCAGTTGTTGGGATTGCCGTCACACCCTTGGTAATGGTAAGCCAGCGGCAGAATGCCCAGTCGTACGACATACCCGGTTCAATAAAGCTGTCGGGCACCTTCACGGCAGAAATGTCCGAGTACAGGAAGATGCCACCGCCCGGAGTGATTGGGGTGATGCCAACATCAACCAGAGCGCGGCTAAGGCGGTCACGCTTCTGCTTGTACTGGTCGGCGACGAAGGCGTAAAAGGTCGGGAATCCCTTGTACGGCTTCTCGGCGAGCTCCAGCATGTTGGCGACGGCTTCCTGAAAGGGAGTGGCCACACTGAACTGGATCCAGTTGTTCGCGAGGTAGATGCCCTTGATCAAATTGCTGGGGCCAATAGCCCAACCCACCTTCCATCCAGTCACGGAAAATGTCTTCCCTGCACTCGAGACCGTCAGTGTACGCTCCCACATGCCGTCAATGTTGGCGATCCGAACGTGTTTATTTCCATCAAACAGAATGTGCTCGTACACTTCGTCTGAAATAATGATCACACGCGGATACTGACGCACGTATTTGGCAATGAGCTCAAGTTCCTCCGCCGTGAACACCTTACCCGTCGGGTTGTGAGGGTTGTTCAAGAGCACTGCCCGCGTTTTAGAGGAAAATGCTGCCGCTAGAGTTGGCTCGTCAAGGTAGAACTCCTTAGAACCAGTTTGATCACATGTACGCACGTGAAGTGGCACATAGCGACACACGCCGCCGGCCATCTGCACCTGGGCGGTGTATATGTCAAATGCCGGTTCGAATACGACAACCTCGTCTCCTGGCTGCACGAAAGAGTTGACAGCAGCGTAGACAGTCTCCGTAGCGCCAACACCCACAGCAATCTCATTCGTCCAGTTGATCCCGCGGTTTAGCTCCTTAGAGTATTTCTTAGCCAGCACCTCCACGAGCTTCTTGTGGCCCTGTGGGCGGGCATACTGGTTGAAATCGGCATCCAGAGCATCCTTGGCTGCCTGCTTAACGAAATCCTCGCAGCGCCAGTCCGGGAAGCCCTGACCTAAGTTGACGGCCTTATGCTCTAGGGCCAGCGGAGTGAATTCGTGCCAGACTGTGGGCTGGTCGAACCCGTCAAGGCGCTTTGCGAGCTGCTCCGCCATGATACAGGCAGGTCAAATGAGTTTTGGTGGCGGGAACAATCGGCCAAAATAGGTTGTTAAATGACCGGACCAATCAGCGCCTGTATTTCTTACAGCAACAGTATCCGCTCGCATCATTGGGGCAGATTGGAAGAGTAGTGTTTTTAGTGATACATGTATTGTGCTTTGCAGCCTTTTTGGCAGTTTTAGTAGTAACTCGTACGATTTGTGAATGTATCGCTATCTACAAATCGTATTTAAGTACGATTTGTTGTAATCCGTGAACGAGTTAGTGTTCAGGCATCAATAGAGTTCGTAGATGTACTGAGTAGCGCGGAGCCAACCAACATGAGAAGCATTTCGTTTGGCACTTTTAAAAAGTGCCATTTCAAGACAAGTCTTACAACATGGCATATTCAAAAGACCTTCGTTGGCGTGCGGTAGTACTATTTTTTGTTAATAATCATGATGTGGTCCAGATAGGCCACGTGCTCGGAGCCTCGGCGCGCTCCATCTTGCGCTGGAATCAGCTTTTTAAAAGGCATGGCATGGTGACAGGCACGAAGCGGAGAAAGCGAGCCTCCCGGTGGCCGGCAGCTGTGTGCTCATTCGTTTTAAAGTACGTCCAGGACCACCCATGCTTTTATTTGGAGGAACTACAAGACACGCTTCGCTACAAGTATGGGGATATTAAGTTGTCGACAGCAACAATTTGCAGAGCTCTTCGGGTCGATTTAGGGCTGTCAAGGAAGGTTTTAACTAAACGAGCACGCGAAGCTAAGGCCGACCAAGTGCAAGATTACATTGACAAGCTAACTCCCTTCTACTCAGCGCCCGAGCAGCTTGTATTTCTAGATGAGACTGCGAAGGATAGTCGCGATGGAGGCCGGCGATACGCATGGTCGAAGCGCAACACGCCTGCAGTGGTCACGTTGCCTTTTGTGCGAGGAGATCGGGTTTCCGTTCTGGCGGCAATGTCGACGGATGGTTTTTTTGGCTGGAAATGCACAACTGGGACTTTTACCCGGCATGTTTTTCACAAGACCTTTCACGAAAACATTTTGCCGTTTTTGAACCCATGGCCGCTTCCTCGCTCAATCCTCATACTGGATAATGCTAAAATTCACATGTACAGGGAGCTGGAGGAAGCAGTCCACAGTGTGGGTGCGCTGATATTTTATCTACCACCGTACTGTCCTCAACTCAACCCGATCGAAGTTGGTTTTTCACTGCTGAAAAGATGGATCCAGAAAAATGCCAATTTGGCTTTTGCCTTTGCGCCACAGGAAGTACTCGACTTGGCGATGTACGCCTGTACACGTGCGAAACAGGGAACGCGTGGAATCTACAAACATTGCGGATATGCATCTGATTCATTATTAATAAATGCTAGTGTAGCTGCTAGCGTTGAACAAACCCCATATACAGCTACTGATGATCTTCATCCTCCATATTGTTTGCCGGAATGTTCATCGGTATATCGGCGTTATGAGGGCGCCTGAGATCACAGTCCGGCAAGCCGAGGATATCGCGAAGATCATCCAGTGAAACAACGATGTTGACTTCGCTATCATTTATCATAATTCTTACCGTTCTAAAGCGGCGATCCAGTCGCCTTCGCTCAGCTTGTTGCTCATGCGCCATTTCGCGGCGAGCCTCGTCGACAGCACTGAGTTCACGATAGGCTGCGTGCTCGGGGACTGTTGGTTGAGTTCCATCTGGTCGCGCGCGTGCTGTGTAGCAAAGTACCGCAAAGCCAAACTATTTTGTTCAAGTGGGGGCTGGCTAGTAGTAGCGAGGTGCTCTCTAATTCGAATGGACGCTTCGTTGATCCGAGCTGTAGTTGCTCGCCGAATCGAATTTTGAATATGTACAATCATATCAAAGCCACAACACGTTAGTTTTATAATTTGATACATTAGAAAGCAATTACATCCGTACCTTTACAGCATACACGAACACTAGCAGTCGGAAATCAGTCAGCGCAACTTTCCTGCGCTGTGAATTTCGCCAAGCTTGCACGACTTGCGTGTCAAATGATTCAGCACTTAGCTTGACAAACTCGCGCTGTTTCGTGTTGGTACCAGGTTTAAGATACATGTCTTTTTCAGGCCACGATATGGCCTCTTGGGCGCTTAGAATTGCGTTCACCTTCGCAAGCAATACGGCATGTCCTTCAGCTGACCGTAAACTCAATGAATGTGGTTGCTTGTGAACGGCTCGAACATCGTTCAGGGGCTCACCCAGTTTGATAGTCAAGACTACCTGGATCTCTTCATCGCCAAATATGTCTTGCACAGTGTCGCCGTTTGTAGTTGCGTTAGACTCCATGAATGAAAATGTGATACAAAAGGTAATTCTGCTGTGTACATAAGATCATGAAGACGAAACCAGAATTAGTGCGAGCCCGTTTTACTTGCAAATTATGTCTTATGTATTCTTACCCTCACCATACTGCTCTGTATTCAGCTGACATGATATCATATACATGCGTGAGTGTTTTCAATGTAGTTGCTCGTGAAGGTTTGGTAACGTATCTTCGTTGTTAGTTGTCCCGTGCTCGAGATGCCGGCGTTTGAAGAGGATCTGGCACGCCAGACAGAGTGTTGGCGAAGATGAGCGTCATACCAGCATAATAATTCCGATAGTCGTGTAGTCATGTCGGTCTAGACGAGTCACTGGCGCTGACGGTGCAGCGAAGAAGCTCGTGCTGCCTAACTAGCTCACAGCGCAATAAACGTTGACGACAAGACTCCGTGTTAGCATGCTCCCTGAAGTTAACATGTAGCCGTGGCGACACACACGCACCGTTGTGGACTTGTAACATGACGCTGCCAGTTGATCTAGTCACTGTGAGCTTCGCAGTGCGGCCTGCTCTCCACTGGATATCTTAACGACTTGTGGGAAATCATGCACTAATTGGTGCAAAAGATAAGTATGAATTAGGGCACTAATTAGTGCGACAAAGTCGATTCAAAGCACAATACGTGTTTTATACGCCCAAACGCGCTGGCTAATAGCAATTCGGCTGGCAAATGCTATCTTGACACAACGTTGACGAGTTGCTAAAGCTATGCGTAGTGGTCGCGGCTGAATGATTCAAACCGGCCCTTGCTTTCAGCTTTCGTTTGTACTCATGTAGACTACCACATGATGTAGTCAAATGCGTCGAGCATGCTTACTGGGTTACCGAGCTAGGATGTCTCCGAAGATACCGGGGGTACACGCATGATTCATACTGTAATTAATTGCGCAGCGTCCAACCCGTCATGCCAACAGGAAATATCAAAATTCGCTGGGTCTTGTGAATACCCTGGTCATTTTCGAATAACCGATGACACAGGAGGTTCGAGCTTGGAGCATTATTTAGGACTTAATACGTAGTTGCACAAAGCTTACTTTCACCTGGTTTTGATACTATTGCTGGGTTACTTTTGAATTCTGTAAAGCATATTGAAATCGAATAAGTTTGACATCGCAATCATGTGATCGTCATAAACTTTGGATGCCCCGTCGTAGCGGTACATGTTCGCTCACTTTTCAATTTGCAAGCACGCGCCAAACCATTCGGACCAAGACCTAAATTATTCCATCATGTGCTCTGCGCCCACCAACAACATGAAGTACCGCTTCTTGGTCTGCTCGTATCCAAGTTTGGCTTTGGGAGCTTCGTCACCTTCGACATGCAAATGGACTTTGAGAAGTCCTACGCCGTCTTCGAGTACGCCTTCAAAAGCGGCATCAACTTTTTGACAGCGCCGAGACATATGCGGATGGCGAGGCTGAAAAATTCATCGGCAAGATTGTCAAGACGGGCGTCGAGCGCGGGGTTTGGAGCCGCGAGGACCTAGTGCTCACCACCAAACTCTTCTTCGGCACAAAGCTCGCCCACGGTGGTGGTGGCCCTAATGATACTGGTCTGAGTCGCAAGCACGTTATTGAGGGCATGAAGGGGTCGCTCAAACGCTTTGACCTGGACTACGTCGACGTGATCTTCTGCCATCGTCAGGACCCGTACACCCCCATGGAGGAGATTGTGCGAGCCATGAACTACGTGATAGATCAAGGTTGGGCGTGCTACTGGGGTACCAGTGAATGGACGGGTGCTGAAATCATTGAGGCGTGCGATGTTGCTGACCGCCTGGGTCTCATTCACCCGGTAAGCTTTATTAACAATGCCTTGGTCCATCGTGTGCAACTAAATGTGACTGACATGGCTGGAGTAGATTTGCGACCAAACCCGCTACAACATCCTCGATCGCTCTCGCGTAGACTACGACTTTGTGAGCTTGTACAAGGTACTTCTTCCTTACACTCTTTGCTGTGGTTTGCTCCCCTGTTTTCGAATGCTATCTCAGAAATACAAGTACGGTATTACTGCATTTTCGGCGCTGTCCAGTGGTGTGCTAACTGGCAAGTACAATGACGGGATCCCAGAGGTGAAATTCTCTTCACTGCTCGCAAAATATGCTGTGTGACTTCTAATGAGACCGATTAAACTCGGGTTTTGCTTGGCAGGGCTCTCGCATGTCGATCCCGTGGTTTACGAAGATTCTCTCGAACGGTCTTCAAGAGAAGACAACCAAAGCACGTCAGCTAACGGAGATTGCCAAGGAAATCGGCTGCACGCGTCCACAACTAGCTATCGCATGGTGCGTTGCCAACACAAATGTGTCCACTGTCCTTCTTGGTGCTTCGAGAATCGAGCAACTCGACGAGAATCTGAGGGCTCTGGAGTATGAGGACAAGATTACACCTGAGATTCGTGACAAGATTGATGCTATCGCAGATTTCAAGCCTGAGTTGACAAAGGTTCAGGACAACGTCCACCAGATGCGTGGAAAGTGGCAATAAAGTAGCGTCGCACAAGACGATCAGTAGGTGTTATAGCCCATAATGCAACGACGTTGGATTCTTTGGTAAAACAAAGCTTTTAGGAAAAATAAAGAATCCGCTTTTTCTTTCTTCTTAAATAACTTCGTCATTTTGACATATTATGGCTACATATTTCTAACCACTCGTTTCAGATTTAGAAATTGAGCTATAGTAAATGCTGCCAGCCCAAGCCAGTCAAACTTCTTCACGGTGGCGATGAGGTTCCACGACTTTAAGCCGGCGCTGTGTCCTGAGATCCTGGCGGAGACCGATGCGCTGGGATTCGAGCACATGACGCCCGTGCAGGCGGCCACACTGCCGCTGTTCCTGTCCAACAAGGACGTGTGTGTAGATGCCTGCACAGGTAGTGGCAAGACGCTGTCCTTCGTGTTGCCCATTGTGCAGCTCCTCAAGGCCAAGCTGGCAGACGGCAGTATCACGGCACCACGTCATGCCGATCTCACGAAACTCGTGGCTATGGTCATATCACCTACGCGTGAGCTGGCTCGCCAGATCTTCGAGTGCGCCGAGAAGTTCTTCGCTCGTGCCTTGTCCACGGTGCAGCTGCTGCTGTTCGTAGGTGGCACCAGCGTGGACGAGGATCTGTCGCTAATCCGCGGGGCAGTAGGCAAGTGCTCGGTAGTTATTGGCACTCCAGGCCGTACCGAGGACCTGTTGAATCGCTGTGTAGGCTCCAGTGTCGAGACGCGCGAGTTCGAGATACTCATTTTGGACGAGGCTGATACTTTGCTCGACATGGGCTTCGAAGTGAGTCTCAACAAGATCCTGGAACACCTACCCAAGCAGCGACGTACCGGGCTTTTCTCAGCTACGCAGACTCAAGAAGTGAAGGCGCTGGCACGCGCTGGACTGCGTAACCCGGCCACCATCTCTGTACAGGTAGCGAACAACACGCAAATTACACCAGCCACCCTACAGAACTACTATTGTTTGGTAGGCCACGATCAAAGACTGTCAGCACTGCACCACTTTGTGCAGGCTAAGAAGGGCGAAAAGCTCATCGTCTTCTTCTCGACATGTGGATCCGTGGATTTTTTCAGTCGTGTGTTGGAGGAGCTGTTTAAGGGTAAAAATGACTTTCCAGTTGTGGCGCTGCACGGAAAGATGCCGCAGAAGAAACGCACAACAAATTACGATCACTTTTCGGCCCTAAAGTCGGGGCTTTTAGTGTGTACGGACGTCGTGGCGCGTGGTATCGATCTACCTGATGTGGACTGGATCGTGCAGTATGATCCACCACAAGACCCGAACTTCTTCGTGCACCGTGTGGGTCGAACAGCTCGTGCTGGACGCTCCGGCTGCGCGCTTTCCTTCTTATCTTCGAACGAAGATGCGTACGTGAACTTCTTAAAGATCCGTAAAGTTCCGTGCGAAGAAATGACGCTCCCATTGGACACGATGGAGGATGTTTTACCCAAGGTCAAGTCGTTTATTCTGGAAGACCGCGATCTGCTTGAGAAGGGCACCAAGGCCTTCATGGCGTTTGTGCGGTCGTATAAAGAGCACCAGTGTCAGTTCATTTTCCGCTTCAAGGAACTCGACTTGGGTGCTGCTGCACGTGGCTTCTGTCTGCTGCAACTACCCAAGATCAATGAGCTACGCAACGTGCGTATTGACTTTTCGAAGGCGGACATCAAAACTACTGACATTAAGTTTAAAGACAAGGCTCGTGAGAAGGAACGACAGAAGAAACTGGCAGTCATTGCGAAGGAGAACGAGATACGTGACAAGAAGAATGCCGAGATGCGCGAGAAAAAGCGCAAACGGCCGCTTGAAGAGGAGAGTCAGAAGCACCCGCGTCGTCGTGAGAAGAAGAAGGGCCTGCACCAGCAGATTGTTGAGGAATGGGACGAGTTAGCGGAGGAAGAAAAGCTCTACAAGAAGATGAAGAAGGGAAAGATCACAGAGGAGGAATACGAGAAGGCTCTGTTAGGTAAAGCGGACAGCTCCGACGACGACGATGACGACGATGAGGAGGACGGTGACAAGAAGAAAAGGGCAAAGTGGCAACGTTCGGAAGAGAAGATGAAGGAGCGCTTTAAAAAGAAGGAGCAGGTGGTGTCGAAGACGGCGGAGCAAAAACGTGAGGCTGCCAAGCGTGAGGAGCGTATTCGCAAACGCAAGAAATCTCAGCACGTTCAGCGCGCAGTGCAAAGAGCCCAGCGTCGAGGCCGGCGCTAGTCGTACGCTTTGTGGTTCAAAGAGGATAGAGGATAATACTATGCATTTCACCCCATTTTGTCGACTCTGTTTTGTGAAGCGACCGTGGAAGTCCCCAAAACGTAGCCCCTGTACGAATGTTGTAAACGTACGCCATACCGGTTGTTGGATCGATTGCTTGGGCGTATTGCCAATGCTCGTACACCTTCTCGTGCTTTTCGACAGCGATAGAGGCCTTGAAGTCGAGTCGCAGCTTCGTGTTCACTCAGAGCATCCTGTGGTTGCTGCTGCAAAGACACTGATCTAGCTTGTACTTGTTCGAGTGCCCAAGCAGCAGTACGAGTGAGTTCGCTGTTGTAGTCACGTTCAGTTCGAGTTGCAATTCTCTGTAGGATACTTGAAATTGACGGTGGTCCTATCGACTGGAGTGCTGTATTCCAGGACACTTATCAAACGAAAAATGTTAGTTGATACGGAGCCAGATTTCCGGTAACTACCACCACTCACCACTATATCCAGCAAGTCGTCCAAACAGAAGACATCCTTCCTGCTGGAGGTGCATGTCCTTCTTAAATTTGAGCATTGCATCTCGAATTGCGATCACAGTGGGCAAATCGGTAGGTTCCAGTGGTCGCATGGTAGTATTTTGCCCATGGAACGACGAACTTTCTTTTATTGCCATCGTTGCCAGAATTTCTGTCGCATATCGTTGGATGGCACCTGTGTTCTTATGCTTGTTCATCAGTTGTGCAATACCCTTCGCTCCTCCCCGGATTGCAGCAAGTTTAATTGTCTCCCGCTGGTCCAAAGTAGAAGCAGCGGACTGCGTACGAAATCCTGTTGTGGAAGCAGAGAATGGTCCCCAGCCCCCCACAGTACGAGCACGAATTCGGAAGCAGTAAGCTGTATCTGTTGCAAGTCCGTAAACTGTGACTGACGTGGGAGGAGTCATTCCGTTTCTCGCGGCATCCTCGTAGCTTAAAACTTGGAAAGCAGCAGCTCGTTTCCAAACACTCGCTTCGCCTGCTCCATCAGTGCATGCTCGGCCGGAACCGCGGTGCTGAATGTGAAATCCGAGCACAATCGGAAGCTCAGCATTTAAAGCTGGTGCGGTCCATGTTAAACTTATGCTGTTTAACGTCGAGGAGACGAATAATGGTGGTGCTAGTGATGCGGTTGGCGGTTCTACATCGGGGATAAAGTAAGAGAAGGGTCCAGTACTTGTTGATAAATCCACGCACCTGGCATTTCCCCCAGTCCGAAATCCATCACGTACTCAACACCTACGACGGAAGGTGTATGAGTTATATCGTGGAGCTCCGCAGCGTGTTCATATCGTGTTCGAACTTGACTCCTGTATTCAGCGTGGACAAGAGCGTTGTGTTTTGCAGCATCCTCCTGAATAGATTTGCAAACATATTTTAACACCTCCCTAGCTAAGAGCGAGGGGCGAGGGCCTTGCTCAAAGCTATTTTCTTTCTCCAGTTCTGGCGTGATTGCAGCTCCCCGAAAGGCATCACGGAATCGCAGCAAAAAGTTACTTACACGCTCCTCATTTGCTCGAACTGGGACTTCGGTCTTCACATTACATGACTCCATCATAATAAAATTAAGTAGCTTCGGGTTCACTCGTTCAGTTTCCTCACTGATTTCTTTGTTTGAAGATAGACGTTTCCCGGGCTCTTGTAAGCCCTGAAGACGTAGCTGCACAATCTGTTTGTACAATTGCGATATAAGCTGCTCGTGGATACGGTGGCGAATCGTTTCAGCGTCATCGATGATCTTGTCTTTGGGCTCTTGAATTTGACAAAGTTCGAGTGCGACAAACTTATTCTTGCATGGAATATCTATCGGGGTTACAGTTAGTTTTAGTATAAGCATTGACTTCGATATAAGAGGACTGCACAAATCGCAAGCCTTAGGATAGTTTTGTGCTCACCGTTGATCATTTGAGCAAGCTCGCGTTCATGAATGGCTGTTAGGACTAGCTCTTCCTCTGATGAAAGCCTCGTTTCGCTAAACAGCACATATGACCCCTCGTTGGCACCGCGAGTAACTCGAGCACCGTGAGTCTGTCCATGAAAGTAAGCTACTGCCAGCTAATAGTGCCATTTGTAATGAACTACTTACCGACAAGCACATGAAAAACGACGAATCTGGTTCTTCCGAGCATATCTTCTTCAACTCTTTCATGGTATCTTGGAACTCAATGACTGAAGGGTTTAGTAGCAGCTTGGACCTCGAAGAAAAGTGGTTGAAGTGTTGACCAACCAGACTTTCGAAAAGCGACATTGCCACATCTCTGGTTTTCTCCGATAGTGCCGGAAGGTTCTTAAAATTGTAAGACACGGCTACTAATCCAAACGTCTGCGTAGGTATCATCACTGGAGTTTGTCGCTCATCAGAGTTTACAGGCTCTGATGGGTTCGCAGTCGCAAGCTGCTGTGTCAACTTGACTGCATCTACAGTACATTTGAAAAGCAATTGAGTGTCACGATTACTTTAACGAGCGACGTTCTCACCTTCGGTTATGGTGGAAACTTGTCGAAGCTGCTGTCGCCTCTGAAGCAACAACGCCAGCTGCTTCTTGTATACTTCGCCTTCCTCGGCGGACTTTGCTTCAAGCACACGCCGCACCTGATCGTCATTCTGCATTTCGGACTACACGCTTTGAAGTGACCACTCGCATCAAGCTCGAGAAGGCGATCTTGACGTTGGCCGGTTACTATATCGGACACGCCCTAATTTAATGAGCTCGCCAATTGGTGCCCGATGAACATCCAAAGGTTGGACGATGACAACGTCGTTGCCAACTGCCCCAGGGTACTGCAGTAAGGTTTCAACGACTTTCCCACATAAGGCATGTTGAGTGGCCACAGCTCTGATGTAGGTTCTAGCTCGATTGGGGTGTTCACCTCGCAGTGTCTGGACTAGCTGAGGAAAAAAGTCAACCTCCTGCCTTCGGAATTTCTCACGGTACTCCTTTTCGTCTTTCTTCAGGAGCTCGAGAATCACTGGAGTTCGAAATGACTCTGGGACGAAACTCATCCATACCTCACGTTTCTTTCGGGAACCAAGTTTCGCCTTCGGAGAGTTTGTCTGGGCATCGAACTGCAACATGCAACAATGCGAAGTGAGTTGCTGACAAGCGCCACAAAACTCAATCAACTATCGCACCTCAAAGTTTTTCCCCTCGTGTTCTTCAATTGCGGCATCAACGAGGTGAGTCTCCAGTTCAATCCACGCCTTTTCAATAAGGAGAAACTTCAGCATTCGAGTGGCTTGCTTCTTACGCCACAAACCTTGCACGAGTTTTACTCGACGTATAAAGACTCGTAGTCCTCTAAATACGCGAAAGCCGACGCTTTTTACAGAGACGCTTTTCTGAAGCCACTCAATTAAAAGATGTGCTGCGTTTGCATTCTTGTGCTTGACAACGCGATGCTGTCTCCAGATTCGGATGGTCCGCGAAAGGCGGCTTTCAAGACGACGCTGGCTCCAGTGTAGCCTGAGCAGATTCAGCATTTTCTGCGTGAATGCGCTCAGCATTACAATGGGCTGCATGTTTTGTGCTTCGCAGAGTAACTGCTCACGTATGCGTTTTTGTAGGCGTAGCTGGGCTCGAAACTCGGACGAGGACTCGATCACCCTGCGCTCGTAGTTCTCATCTTCTTGGGTTTTCCTAAATTTATTGTTTTCCAATCGACTTTCGTGTGTGTTAACCCACTGCTGGTGTCGTTCTTGGAGTAGCTACAACATACAAACGAGTTAGTTCCTGATTAAAGCAATGAACTCGTATCAGATAAAGATATAATATTTAGAATACCATTTTTTTGAAAGCTGCTTCCATGTTAAAGCCCATTGGAGACGATGCACCTCCGGCTAATACAATCCGTTGAAAGTTCGCTCGCATCCGCTCATAGCCTCGAATCGTCTCCCAGAAGGTAGTATGGTCATCATCCGAAATCGGCAGTAGCTTGACTCGTTGTTTCATTTTCTTCAGTTGGTCATCCGCTACAGCAGTCTCCGTGGTAGTGACAATTGGTATGCTACACCGATTTAGCCCGTCCGATGACGGAATGTCAAACGCGCTCGACGAGGACTGCTGGTTCAAAGACCCCAGCGGCTGCATAGGCTTTTGAGCCCTAGCTAAGTGCCGCTCCAAGGACGCCAACATCAGTTTCTTAGACTCGGCTTGTCCTTGCTGGTCTTCACTACTGGAAGGTAATTTTCTATTCCCCTTCAAGAGTTCCTTGTGCTTGGCAAGATAGATTTCGTTGGATGTCGACATCAACGGCGCCAGGTACACTGCATCGTCAATAATTATACACCCTTTTAGTTGTCATTATCCGATGCATTGAAGCCAACAATTGCACTTGTTTTTCACACGCGCACCTACTCGCTTGTCTTCCTGATCAACAACGAGAGCCCCAGCGGGCACCGGATACTGTGGCAGGATCGGCAGCTGTGGGCGCTTCTTCGAAGACATGAGGGTCGTTTTACCAGCCTCCCCGTTTCCTTTCACCATCACTTCATTCTCCGTCTCCAGCGCTGCCACCATCTTATCGCTTTTACACCGCAAATGCACTACTAGGCCAACAAATGCGGAATCGACCATCACTCTGCGTCCAAAGTTGAAGTTTATTTCGTCGAATCAGACGAAAGGTCGCTAATAATAGCCACAAGGCTGAGCCGAAACCAAGGCCAAGGATAGCAAAGTGTTTCTACATTCGCGTCTTCTAAAAAGACGACGCAATCGCCAACTGCTACGTACAGCGAATAAATAAGGTGCTGCAGCAACCTCCGGCCCGGGAGCAGTGTGCGACAAGAGACACCAGACACCTACTCTGCTATCGACTACGAGTTTATTTCCTAGAGATACCATACAGCAGCCCGAGCCCGACTGCGTGCGCTGCTGATTTTTGACGACCGACCGAGTGAACCACATCCACCCGCTACCACAGTAACAGTCGTAGATCCCAGCAATGCCGTCGGACACTCCGCTTCACAAGGCAGCACACAATGGTGACAAGGGCGCTTGCCTTCAGATTCTGGAGGAAAAGTCGGTAGACGTCAATGCCCCAGGAGCTGGTGATCGACGGGCACTTCACCGCGCCGCAGGAGGCAATCATGCAGAATTATGTACACTGCTATTGGATAAAGGCGCAGAGATCGACGGGGTATGAGCTGTAGGCGATGCACCCACTAGAGCTCTACTGTAGTGCTAACGATGGTTTGTCTTTTATTTTGACTTTTTCTTAGGCTGACAAAAGTGGTCGGACAGCACTGCACTGGGCGTCGATCAGCGGTCACAAAGAGGCGACGTTGGTGTTGTTACAGAAAGGAGCAAACATTAATGCAGGAACCACAACGGGAATGACGGCACTCCATGGCGCAGCCGAGGGCGGTAAAGTGGAACTAGTTAGACTGCTCATGGAAAATAAGGCGGATTCCTCCAAGAAAGACTCAAATGGGAAGCTGCCCTTTGACTATGCGATGGATGGCAAGCATAAAGCTGTAGTTAAAGTGCTCAAGGATATGGGGGACGCAGCTGCGCAAAGCGCATCTTGTGTTATTCAATAGCCGTCCGACTACACGCAGCGATATTCTCTTGCCGCCAACAAATTCTTATTTGACCCCATAACATAAATTGAAGAGCTCCTTGCAAGAAATGTATTGTTACGAATAACGAGATCAGCTGTCTACCATATGTGGCTAGCGATGAATGCCTTGCAACATCCTTCCTTCATCTACCAGTCGTTCTTGTGGTAAAGCTTGCCCTTAATGCTGAGCTTGGCCGAGTTACGCGACCGCCGCTTGCCTCCTGCCTTTTGGCGTGCCTGTCGGTCACGTTGTACCCGCTGCTTAATGATCTCGTTTTCCACTGCGAACGAGTCCTGCGCTTCTTCATCGTTATTTTCGTCGCTTTCCTCCTCGTCGGATCCAACTCCCTGGCCATCAAGAGTGGTGCCTTCAACACCCTGCACAAGGTCAGGTACTTCGGCGTCCTCTTCATGCTCCTCGCCTTCCTCTTCACTTTCATCGTCGCTGTCATTTTCCTCAATGTTCTGGTGAGCCGAAAAAATCGAGAGCTGCAGAAGCATAATTTTATCAGTCAGTCTGTTGACATGATCGCATAATTACTAGTGAGAGCAGCATCTTACGTCGTGTACTTTTTCTCCAAACTCCTTTCCGAAGCCACTTGCTTCCACGTCCTCGTCTAAATGGACGTTCTCATCTGCCACAATGTCCTGCAGCTTCGGAACACGCTATAGTTGCAGAAACACACACATCATTAGCACCATAACAAAAACGTATCACGTGCATGTTAGCGATACAACATACGTCAGGTGTGTAGGCGCCGCCTTGCAGGCGCGAGAAGAACTTCACGAGTCCGTGTACATCGCGATCAAACAGCCTGTAGGCAGGTAAGCAGCATATCAGAATGCGTTTACATTCAGCAGCAAAACTGCACTCACTCAGCAGCGTTCGGGTGTGACGTCGAGATCATCTGCGGAAAATCAATCATGGTGATTTTGCCATCATCTCCGATCATAATGTTAAACTCGTTGAAGTCACAGTGCACCAGTCCATATTCCGCCAATCGCACAACAATCGACATGGCCGTGTCATAGGCATCCTTCGAGTTAGCAAGACGACGCACTTGGTTGAGCGGGTAACCATCCACAAGACTCATGCAGATCGCATGGCGGTTGCAGTCAATAGGCGTCGGCGTCGGGAAGTCACGATCGTACAAAGCCTACAATACCAACATAAAGTGAGCCATACGCTCGAAAATCATCAGACCGAAGCAGGCATATTTTAACGACGCCGTACCTTCAGGAAGGCGTATTCCTTCATAGCCGAGAGGCGCGACATGTAGAACCAACTGGCTGACTTGCGGTTCTTGAGGTAGTCTCGCTTGGACTTAACAGCGCGGAATGATGTGCGTCCGAGGCGGTGGAACTTAATTGCTACCTCTGTGCCATCCTCCTGGGTGGCCAGGTAGATGTCGGATTCCTTACCAACACCGATCTGGCGGCCAAGACCAGTGATATGGCCACGCTGCAGGAATACACGCAACGCTAGATAATCATATCCATTGTACGTGAGGCGGTACCCGTCGTAGGCGTTGCCGTCGTGCGCGATGAGCTTGTTGCGAAGTAAGTGCGACAGAATTTTCTGAACACCACCATGCCGCAGTTTGGCGATACTGGAGATCAACTCCACGGGCACCACCTCGTGATTCTTCATACCCATTTCGATGGCTGTCAGCACGCGGAAGTGCTCCCTCGTCAGGTAACGCATAGCAGTCACGTCGAGTTTCATTATTGTCTGCGACGGGTCCCAACTGTTGCTGATTTTGCCGACGCCAGTCAAAAGCAAAGTTAAGAACATGGACGTTTCGGTTAAATTGCGGTTAGTGGTAATTAGATTTGTTGCTTAAGTACATTAATTTAGGTTTTATTAAAGGACCATGTTACAATGTGTAACATGGCTCATTCCGGAAATACTTCGTAGCTAACTCCACGTTTTACACTGAAATATGCCTGTCCGGTTCGCGCTGAGGAAGCGGCAGCGACAGGATGAGAACGCCGACAAGAAGAAGCCCCGAACTTCCCTAAGCAGTGTTTTTCCCACCATTGAGGCGTTACAACAACAAGAAGGCAATGGTTCGTATGCTCGAGTGAAGTGCGAGGTGGGTCTGCTCGAAGATGTCATAGCAAAGGTGAGGCGTCTCAAGGAAGAAGGCAATACGCTCGCTGAGGCTGGCAGGTTTCGAGCAGCCATGGGAAGGTGGAAGGAAGCTTTAGTTGTGGATCCAGACAATGCGGCACTGTACGAGTTACTTGCGCAGGCGTCCATGGCCGTGTATGAGGACTTCCAGGCCATCCAGTTCGCGCGTAAAGCGACCAAATTGGCTCCTACCTGGAGTGACGGATTTCTCACACTTGCTCGATGCCAGCTGAACTTTGGCGAGTTGGCATTAGCTCGTGAAGCTCTGAAACAGGTTGGTCAAGAGGGCTCACACGGGTTTGTGATGAATAGCGAAGTTTCTGACGGTGCTTCTTTTTATTTTTGCTAGGCTGTTGAACATAATGGTGGCAAGGAGACGAAAGAAATGACGTCTGATCGTCGGGATATTGATCATCTCCTCATTAAACAAGAACAAGTGCTGTGCCAGCGTGATGAGGAAGCAGCTCACATCCTGGAAGTTGACAAGCTACAAGTCATCTCTTGCTTTAAACACCTCAGTCTTCGCGGCAAGGCAATTGATAACGCGAACACACCGGCAAATGAGTAGAGCATATAACTATTGACAAGTATTAAAAAAGGAGGAGTCGATCTTCTTGGTCTACGGTGGACGTTTGTCTCTGGAGGGCAGAGCTTGGCGGGGATCTATATACAATAGCAACTAACTTACAATGCCGGTTGGCTTCGAGCACAGCCCCAAACCGGCTAAACTTCCCTGCCTCACCCACCACCACCTTGTCTCCTGCTACACGTGGACGAGGTATCTCCATATATACATAAGATATATACATTCGCGCAATCGTCGGGAGGCGGTTTGCAGTAGCAATCTTGGTGATTTTCCTTCCAGCTGGCTGACGCTTGAATGTGGCTCGCTTTGATGTTTACGAGCAAAGCTTGCTGCCTTCAATTGAGTACGACGAAGGCTCGCCGTGAGTGGTATCGTAGGACGACGAGTAGCCCTCCTGCTGATCCGTGATAAAGTGCATGTACGACCGCTTGCGGGACTCACTGTGCTCGGTGTCTGGCTGTGCTGCCGTCTGGGGTGCGTAGCAGTCGTAAGGCTCATAGTCCGCTTTGTTGCCTTCCCCCTGCGGTTCGTGTCTCGTGTCGAGCAACGAGTCGATCTTCTGACTCATGAGGAAGCACAAGGTGGTGGCGGCAGCGGCAATGTACTCTTGGTCCACGGGATCACAGTTGCCTGGATCCAGACGGCGCACTTTCTTTCGTGGGGTCTTGCGTGGACTGTCTTGGGCCGCATCGTGTTCTGGAGTAGAGGGCGCTGTATTGTTGCCGTCTACGGAGTCTCCTCCTCCGGATCCAGGCTGCTCAGCAGCAAGTGTAGCCATTTCGGGGGTCTTGCTACTCTGCTTCTTCTCAGCTTTAAGCTTGGCAACCTTGAGCAGATATTTCTGTGCGTGTGTGCGTACTTGAGTCACCGATCGTGTGCGAACCACTTGCTGCACGCGTTTCCACTTGTGGCCGTGAATACGGAATCCCTCTAAGAAGCGCTCATGCTCGTCCGCGGTCCAACGTCCACCGCGAATCGGTTGGTTAACGGTGCCGCCGCGAGTGGTTGCTGCCATGCTTTCAGAGTCTTGCTCTGCCTCGTCTTCGTCTGCAGGTGCCGGTGCAATGCGGCGAGAGTTGGGTGACGGCGACGTCTGTCGAACTGGAGACGAGTCAGCGCTACGCTGCTGGTGGCGAGTGGAGACGTAGCGGTTCTCTTCCTCGTAGTGCTGCGGAGCTATTGGGACCTCAGGCTTGGTGAGCAGCGGCTTGCCGAAGCTGTGGAGCGACGGGAGGCTGAACTTGGGCATGGCGCTGTCGGAGGCACTACTGGAGGTACTACGGTTGAGGATGTTGGCGAGGCCGAAGCCAGAGGAGCCGCGCCACGGTTCTATTTCCTGTGCGATTGGAAGGGCAGCAGAGGTTAGCGACTTGTATTTGAGTTGATCTGGGTCGTGGCGGTGAGAGCGCACCTTTTTCAATGGCATGTCGTGTTCATGTCGTCTGTAGCTTTCGTTGCTGTAGGCTTTTCTTTTGGTGCGGTCCATTGTAGTGTGCTCGAGGTCGGTGACTAAATATATTCTCCCACGGCCGTTGATGTGCGTGTCACTAACAGCGGTCACGTCGATGAAGGGCCGTTTGAAACGTCAGAGGGATCGTCGAGTGCTGAGTCTGCTGCAACAAGCAAAGTCGGAGTGAGAATGCGGATCTCTGAGAGTCTCAGAGTGAATGAGGATGGATGCGGCGGCCGTGAGCGGAATGGAGGAATGGATGGATCCACTTCTTCACGCTTCCCCTCAACCGCAAACCGAAACACACACCAACCGCGCCCAGCTGGCGCGTGTTGCAAACAACAGAGCGGCAGCAGCCGCAAACATGCAGCATGGGCGGAAGAGCGGCGGCGGGTACCGTGCGCCGCAATACATGCACAACTTACCTACCTCGGTGTCGCGGTCTGGCCTGGCGAGACCTGGAGATCTGTTCCGCTCTCTCGGTGCTTTTTGAACTTTGTTTGGTCTGGGCGAGACAAGATCGACGCTTGACGGCTTGCATTTGGCTCACCTCGTTCGTTCGCGTGCTGGTCTCCTTACCTAGTGAGGCCAAGTCAATTTTTTGAGGCGATTCAGTTTTCTTAGCGGTTAGGGCAGAAGCGGGCCGAGCCGGCAACAGGCGTTGGCAATGGCATGTCGCCATGTCGTAACGAAGAAGATCGCGAGCATGAGACCAGAAGAGCTTCCGCCTGTCGAGGCGATGCTGTCGTGCCGTGCACTGAACCAACCTGTAAGTACCCTGGCAGCGTGTTTTTCCAAAATTCCTCATCAATTGATGTGGTATAATACCACGTGGTCAAGTCAAGTCGTTGGAGAAAAGATGACGCCGCTGCGTTTGAAGCATGGCGCCTCGCACATCGACATTCATGCGCGGGGGGTTGTATTCTCAGTAGATTCTGGTAGGTGGCATGGCGGGTCGACGAGGCCCCTCAACAAGCTCGGCGACAAGTGGAGTTCACTTGTCGCCTGTGGAGCTCCTTGGGAGCCAGCAGTGCTGGCCCAGCACTGCAAAGTGCACCTGATAAAGTCGCCAGAGACAGGCGGCGTGATGTGCATGACATGAGAAAGATTGGCCGCGCAGAGCGCTGATTGGATGATTCGAAAAGGCGTAGGGAAGGCAAAAGTATCTTGCCAAGAGTTCAGTTCACCACTCGAGCAGGCTAAAAGCGAGAAAATAGGAGAAACACACGTCCATCGCTGGGATAACACACACGGGGCTGGGCGACGTGGTGCCATAGCCGCGGCGCCAACTAAGGTGAGCGGGTGCGAGGCGCGTAGCCGCAGCAAACCCGCGCGGAGAGCCCGCGAAGCAGTGCCGCGCGGTATTTGCGGAGGCGGGCCCAGCGCTGAGCTCACCAGCGAGCCGAGCACTACACTTTCCAGAACATTCTATCTCCATATTGCGAGCGCAGCGAACCGCGGGGAGCTCGATCTTTTTCGCAGGTTGGATCACGGGGGGGAATCCTACTAGGTTAAACCTAGTAGGTTATGCACCTAATCGGTCGTTAATGGCGGATGGCTCTTCTTGCTCGTTGATTGTTGGAATCTGCGTGGCAGGCAGATAGCTCTACAACCCGACGAGTAGAGCTTGCTTGGTGTTGGACCGAGCTTGGTGTTGGACCGAGTCCGCCCAGGTCGAGCGTTTCCACTCTAAATTTAGAGAGCCGCTATTATTGCCGAATCTATTAATAGCAGCACTTTAAATTACATGTAATAGCTTGCAAGTCGCATTTTCACGAAGGGGCTTCTGACACCCAAGACAGGAACGCTCGTTGGGCCGAGTAGCCTGCTGCCATGGTAGACAAGTCGGAGCTGGTCGCGTTCGAGCGCGAGAAGCGCCTGTACAAGGACGCCTACGTGGAGAGCTTCCGATCAGTGCGCTACTTCCCGTCGCTGGCTACCATCGGCGCCGGGCGGACGGACGGTGACAGCATCGTCTTAGTGCAGGAGCCGCAGGTCCCGGTCGCCAGCGAAGGCACGCCGATCGAGCTGCGATCCAGGTTCGTCGACGACGCCGCGAGCCGCCTACCAGACTCGGTCTGTCTTTCTTGAAGTTTAGGATTCGCGTCGACCTGACGACCGCACGATTCACTGACGCCTGCTTCGTTCGTGAATGGGTCCGCTTGCAGCTCGAGAATATCTTTGACACTACGCTGCCGCTGACGATGTTCCGGTCCGCCGTCATGTGCAAGCACTCCAAGGCTCGCCAGGAGCGGCGCGCAGGCGAAGCCGCTTCTGGCGGGTGTTCCGCTTCCAAGGCCGGTTTGGCCGCTGCACCGAGCCGAGTCAGAGGTCACAGCAACACGGTGCGTCTACGATGATTACGTAAATGTAGATTCAGATCTATCCGATCCTCTATTTATCTTCCCACTGAAGTGTGGCATTTAACTCAAGCAGCCAGGCGTGTTCAAGCCCACCAGCGTGGTGGGGGCCAAGGGGGCCATCCAGCGCAAGGTCACGTACGACGGACAACCGTTCCAGGACAAACCACGCTCCATGCGATCGGTACTGTGCGACGGCGCGACTGCGACGTGGATTGCAGTCTGTACATGTAGTTGCTTTTCCGTCGGGCTAATATCGTTCGCTGCGCGCGATCTTTGCTGCAGGTCACGCCGCGTACCGCCGCACCGCTGCCGTGGGCCACCAACAACCCCACGCACGCTCGCAAAGAGATCTGTGGCCGGACCTTCTTCAACGTGCCACCCGAGGGGCCCATCAAGGCCGACCGCAAGTACACACAGGAGTTCATTCGCCTCAGCATGGAGGCCTACCACGCCGGTCGCCGCCACGCTGCCACGGCCTACAAGGGAGATTCCCGACAAGACCACTAGATACTGTAGGATCAATGTATCTTCACTGTAACTGTACATTTTAGATACATTTTTGGCAGTTGTCGTTTGGAACTGTATTTATTTTCATTTGGTTCCACGGTATGGTCCACCCCGACTTAGTTTGATATTTTAAAATTAAAGTAAGTTATTCACACAGAATTTTCAATATGTTTTTCGTAAGTTACGTACATGCTAATGTAGTACAGTACGTATTACGGTTGTTGGAACAGGACGGGGTTTTATAAAAGTGAGCATAATAATTCGATATTGTTGCTGGCCAGGATTATAATCATGGTAATGAACAGGATGGAATCCTGCATGCATCCAGGATTCTGTAATATAAAAAATTAATTTCCATCCCTTCTAATTCCGACTTTTCTTATTTCCGATCGAGGAAGAAATGGGTTCTCGTTTTGGTTCGAGGTCGAGGATGAAACGTGTCTCAAGCGACGGAAGCGACAGCGCCGGAAGCGACCGCGCCGGCAGCAGCAGCGGTGGGACGAGCGCAGGAGGATCAACGCGTGTATTGGGTGCGTCTGGTGGTAGGCGAGTGTCTTCGCTCCCGCGTCGTGGGCCGGAACTGTCAGCAATGGAGACGGAGATAGCTGGTGGTGAAGAATCAAAGATTTCGAGCGATTGTGGGCACGGGACCGGCAGTGAAGACGTGGAGGGAGCTGAAGAAGCTGTGGTCGCCGGTAGTGATGCCTCTGCGGACGACACAGAAGCCTCTGATACTGCGAGCGTTGACGAAACGGTGCACGTAAAGGTGCCTGTGGTTTGGCATTTGGATTGAATGGCGTGGCAGGCGTACTTCACGCAGTACTGCGACAGGACAATGCATGTGTTACCTGTAAAGGAGACAATGTCACGCGCTGAGCGGAACAAGCGTTTGCAACGCACTAAGAAAGGCGCAGAGGAGTCCCAGTTGGTGCCGGAGCAATATGATCCATACCAGCGTACATGTATATGTACGCATGGTTGGAAGAAGCGCAAAATCTCGTGGAGAGAGTAGCCGCCCGCGCCAACACATCAGGCTCACGAACAGTCCATTTCGTTTCGTTGTGTAGTGGAGCTTATCACGTGGAGAGCTGCAGGTCAAGAACGGAAGCTTCAATCACAATCATCGTGTTTCTGCCGCTGCGTTTGCTACCTACCCTTCTTCTAGGGGCGTAACTAATCCACTAGTGGGGGCTCGAGTTGATGGAATGCTGGGACAGTAGTCAGGACCGCTGGGTGATGTATCGACGACAAGACTTGCCCCATTCCAAGAACCACACGAACAACCGTCTAGAAAACTTCTTTGGAAAACTCAAGGACAGCGCTGACAGTTCTTAGAGAATGTCTGCATGCGTCAAGGCTCTTCTGGCTTATGATCGTAGAGCTGAGAACGAGTACAAGTACCGACTATCCAGAATCGGTATGTTTGTCAACAGTAATTACGACTAGGAGGTGGCAACGTACTGAGATTTACGACTCATTTTGTAGCTGAAACGATACAGCATCAGTACGCTCGGGCTCTGAAACGGTATGCAGCTTACACTTTCAGGCGCATTTCGGACGAACCTGGTGTGGTGGAAGTTTGTGGAACTTCCTGACAGTACACACTTTATCTGGACAATTGAAAATGTGCATGTGAGCTCTCAGTGTCGATGACTCTTCCGTGTCGACACGCAAACGCGTATTGAAAGCGAGAAGGTGTTTAAGGACCTTTGATCCCGTGGAATTGCATTGATGAGAGGTATGTATCGAGAAGGATTTGCCCAGAATTTTGTCATGATTTAATCAGGATTGCAATGTGCTCTATTTAAATGACGACTCCAGCGAGGAAACTGATTAAGTTTCGTCAGCTCACGTACGAAACGCTTGACTGCCATACCTCTCACGCAGGAACGCGACCAGCGATCCCAATCAGAGCGATACAGGCAGGCTGTTAGGGCTACACATCTAATCGCTAGCGAGCTTGCGGATTTTGAAGATGAGGTGGAGTTCATGGAAATGCTTGACTTTGTTATGAGCCAATGGAGAAACGTGCGTCAACGTAACGTTGCACCTACGGCAATTGAAGACGTGGCATACGTGAAATTGGAGTTGGAATCAGTAGTAGCGGGGATGATGAGGATCGAGACAGACTTTCGAGTGGAGATGGTGAGGCGCAGTCTAAAGTGACAATCCGACTTAAATTCCACAGCAAAGAAGGTGGGGGTCCAAAAAAATCAAGGCAAAAGTGGTCGCAGACGAAAAGGTTGACAGGAAGTGGCTCGAAGCTATGGGAGAAATTGCTGGAGAAGCTAAGCTACAAGGCCTGTTAAATGCGTTAGAAAGTAAACAACCTACTCCTGCAGACACACAGCGCCGTTTGTCCTGGGTGATGGTAAAATACGCAGACGCGGAGCTGAAAAAACGAATTTTTAACGACTGAAGAATCATGTTTTAATCATAGACGCTTTCTACATTCTTCCTGTGAAGCTTCTCGATGCGTGCTTGAATGTCCTGCCGATCTCGAACGCGAGGGCAAGCGCCATATCTGTGGGTGACAATACCCAAACGAAGAACAAGCCTACGGACGGCCTAATCGGGCGTGTACAGATTAAAAACGTGGGTACTTTTTCGAGGAATCAAATCGAGACCTGCAGAAGGGTTCAACATTTGAAAGAAGTTGTGCAGCTTGGGCTCGACATGCACAAATGGCTGTTGGAGGAGGGGCTATCGTCGCTACCGGCAGAGTATCACAATTTAGCCAGGAAGATGGCGAATGAAGTTATGGGTACATTCCCGTCCAAGCGGATCAGTGGTCTCTCATGTCTGCCGGAGTATACATACTCAATTTTGTATCGAGCCACACCACCGACATGGCTTACGGATGCAGCCATTCAAGCCTATTGTGAACGTCTTGCTAATGACTTTATTGGATGTAGATTTGCGGGCTTCCAGAGAGCCCAACTGAGGACAAAGAGAGCCCGCAACCGTGAAGAGACGCCTGTGGATGCGCACGTCCGGGACAGGATTATTGAGCAGGTTGCGGAACAAAACGTCGACAATGTCCTCCTCCCTCTCAGCTTTATGAATTTTCACTGGTGCTGTATTGTGGTTAAGGTTCGCGCCAAGCGCATCTTCTTCTATGACCCACTGAACCAAGATCCATACATGAAGGCAGCCCAAGCAAACGCTACGCAGCTGAAAATTCGTTGACTACTTGACTACGAAGTTATTCCGCAGAATAACCCCATCCAATTCGACGGGTATAGCTGTGGAGTATTCGTCGCATGGATGTTCATTCGCCAAGTTACTACCGGACCTCCCCTGGACATGAGCGAGGCGTCGTTACCACTGCGTAGGTTCGAGTTATTATACTACTTGATAACGGGGAATCTACTCCCCGCTCAAACGAAAACCCAAACTGCACAAGGTGAGGAGATAGAGGACAAGATGGCTGTACCAAGCACTACTGAAGATCAAACTGGAGACGACGATGTTTCACCAACTCGAGTGGCGCTGAAGGTACACACAATAGCTTAAACTTGATGAATACACGTAGCTTTGTGTTTCAAACGCATTCAGTGTTGGATTTCATTCTCGTGTTTGACAGTCAGTATCTTGATCTCGAAAGGACTTTAGATTTGTCCAATCCGCAGTCAAAACCAGGATTTTACCATGATAACTTCATTATAATCATGTCGAAATCATGGATCAGGAATTGTACCGTATGTTTCAGTATCTTCTCGTATCTTTTCATATTTTTTCAGGAAGGGTACTGGGCTAACATAGTATTTTAGTGTCCAGGATTACTCCTGTATCAATTCCTGGATATTATCATGATTAGAATCCTGGACCGCAACATCTGCCATAATAATTACTGTATCCGTACCCTCTTGCAGGGTTAAAACGGCGTAAAAAGTCTAAAGTCGCATAAAAGTGAAAGTGAAAAAAAACATAAAAGTTTAAGGATTTTTTCAACAGTTCTTAAAGAGCACATGCGTGTGAATTTGCGGCAGAGTCTAGGTTTTGTTGTCTTCTATGCCACTGAGTAACATCGCACGCACAGTATATTCACGACATCAAGCATTTTACCTATATCGTAAAAAAGACTGCCGTAAATAAAAATTGTAGCTACTGGTCAAAACTTTCATGTACAGTTTCTCAGACTACAACCTGCAGCGTCTGCTGGGATTCGTCACGGACACTAATGTCCAGCACTCATTCATACTCGCAATTAAGCTGCAGCGGGGCTGCCGTAGCTTTAGCGTCAGAGGAAGACGTTCGACTCAAAGAGTCACTAATACTAAGTTCCTTATCCAAAGGACACTTACAGCCCAAGACCAGGGCTCAAATTTAATACCTTTACTTTTATGCTTCAAAACCAGAAGTGTTTTATTTACTATTATTGCGGCCAAGCCGCCTAGGGGTAAATGTATCTGTTTAACTATCTAGCATAGTTAAACCTAATCAAATGCATAACGTGTGGCTTTCGGCCAACGTACTGAGAGACCTTGTTAGCTCTCCAGCTTATGTACTGAGAGTTTGTTAACTCTCCGAGTACTTCGTACCCCTGTGTGTTCCACACCATGTAACCTGGTTACACTCTCCCCCACTAAGATGAGAACATTCCGTTCTCGAAACTCTCCTCAGCGAGGTCACGTCTTGCTAAGACGGCGGAGGCTACTACACATTACACCAGCGTTGTACAGCTCCGTGAGCTCACAAACGCCTACGCATCGTTGATGCCCAACTTCTCGTCGTCGGCCCACGGCCCAATGCTCCAAGCGCAGCGCGCATCTTGCTCTCAAGCGGTCTCAGACCTACGCTCGCGCTCCGCGCCTACTCCAAGAGCTGCAAACCGCTTAGAGCAATGCTCTTGACTCATTCGAGTCGTCGACAACAGCTCAGCGGTTGAACACTCGCTTCACAAGCGATAGGTCGGTGGTTCGAACCCACTAGGGCACAGCCCTCTCGTTCCATGAACGATTGCTCACGCTTGGACAAGCTTAAGGGCAACACCCTTT